CTTTATGGGGAAGATGATGTAGGTCATTACATACGAAGCCAAACTGAATTAGACAATGACTGTCATAGGAAGAGAGGTCATTAGGAGAGCTCAGTATGATTTCTGGACTATAAGTAAACCTAGTACAGAAAGTTGTACAAAAATCTGAAACACATTATACCACACTCCAACAGATAACTTTTCACGTACTGTTCTGAATTGGACTACCTCACATGAAACCGAGTTCCGGACACTTGGCCAAACGGTGAAGCATTATCGAAAGTTTTTCTGCCTATTTTGTAGAGTTCGAATCCTTTCAGAAAGAATAACCATTTTAGGACTTTCACTTATATACCTCCCAAGAAACCATATGAATGAATTTAGCTACTTGTCAAACACCTGCAAAGAGTGTTTATTTGTTTTCGGGTAGCCTGTTTTATGCTAATCTTATCCCATGTTGAATTTTTAAACAGATGTGTGAAATTCGTATATTAGTTGTAAGAGACATCTAATTAATTAAACTTCTTGCAAGCTGGGAGCCAAAATGGAATTTTACCCAAATGTGAGCAATAGACATAGAATTCCCCTGGAATCTTTTCTGTCTGTCCCAGACAGGGCATTTACCTGGCTATGTAACTGACATTGGTTTAAATGATTGTCTGATCCAGCGATGTAGAGGGAGTCAATGGTTTCACAGAAAGGTCGAGAATTAAAGACATTTACTCTCCATTTCCATTTCTTAGTGACTATCACTGTGAGGTCAGTTTGATACACCTCAGAAAGATGACTCTAGTAGACAAAATGTAATTTAAAAACTAATTCCTACTGTTGCCTAAGGGTGTTTGCCCACACATTCAAAACTTCCGCAGTTGTCTAAAGAAGCACATCCCCATCAGAAATCTGCAGGCTCCCCAGTGTCAATTACCACAGAATTACAGAGGTAGTTGTACCTCTGTACAGAGGTGGGAAGAATGGTGAGTTGGAGAGATGATGTCATTAACTCTTCTTTCTATTGGATTATGGAGTCTTTTTATTTTTTTTAATTGTATATTATTTAATTTATTTAATTAATTAATTTATTCATTTAACTAGAGAGAGAGAGAAGGAGCACAAGTAAGCGAGGGGCAGAGAGAGAGGGAGAGAGACAGAAAATTCCACAAGGGGGAGAGAGAGACAGAGAGAGAGAGAGAGAGAGATGGGGAGAGAGAGAGGGAAAAGTGATTCACCCAAATCAGCGGTCCTGTTCACTTGAAGCAGGGCCTGTCTTCACCCGAAGTGGGACTCAAGGTCAACCCATGCAGGGCTCAGGAACCATGAGATCATGATCTGAGCTAAAGTCAGATGCTTAACCGACTGAGCCACCCAGGCCCCCTGGAGTCTTTTTAAATGCTTACAAAAACTATTTTCTGCTTTTAGTCGTATTCTAAAAGCTGAATTTGATATTACTGATGAGCTAACGGATAAGGTATGAGAGCACCACTGTTGAAACACAATCCTCAAAATCTTGGGCTTTGTGGCACAGCAAACATAGTGACAAAGGAAAAGATGGAGAACTGATCTAAAATAAAGCATCCTATCTTTGAAATTTAGACCCAGTCTCACCCGCAGCTCTGACCACACTCTGCCTTAGGTAATCCACCTTTGCCCAGCACGTCTGCCTTCCGGTCACCCCAGAAAATCGTTTGCTTTCTCTTTCTTGGCTAGTAAGGTTGTAAGGGGCTCCAGCCGGCTGTAAGAGCCCATGGCATATCCTGCCAGTTTGTGAAACCAGATCCAGCTTGGTTTCTCTGTTAGGAAACAGATGGCATACTTGAAGGGTAATTAAAGAAAGATTGATCAAAACTTTTACAAAGCGAGGGGCAGGGGTAAGGGAACCAAGGATGGACTATAAAGTACTCAGGGACAAGCCTATGCCTGAAAGGGCAAGGGGAAGCAATCGTTACCACCCACTTGGAACGGCAGCCCTTGGAGATGGGCCACCCAATGGGATCCCGCATAGACATACGCGGCCACTGCCAACCCGTGGGCAGCAGAGAAGGAGCCTTGGGCATGTGCACCCTGCCTGGCCTGCACCCGGCCTGCTATCTGCTGCTGAGGGCTCTCACTCACTGAATTCAACTGGAGCTCAGCTACAAGTGGGTGCCAGGCTGCCCTGGTGATTCGGTTTCCAGAGTTCAGCTTCAAGAGCACAGGGTGGGTCATCAAAGTGTGGAGCTAGTGGGGCAAATGGAAGATAAAGGGTACCATTCTCCGCCTTAGTATGGCACAGCAAAAATGAAACCACAGTGCATGGACCGTTCTGTTGAACAAATGCACCTTCAAGTCTGGGGTTCACCAACGATTAACTGTGTGACTCCGGGCAACTCACTTAATGGTGCCAACTTCGTTTCTATCTGGTGTGTAAATGGTAACAACCTACTTTGTGTGGTTGTGGTCATGAAATGAGATAGGCCTGTATAAATGTTAACAGCACTGGCTGTATTTTATCAACGGCCATCCAGGGTTGAACGCTCTCCCTCAAAAGCTTATGCCCTGAGAGCATGACTCTTAAGGTGTGTTTGTGTACTCCCCCGCCCCCCCGCCCAAGTTCATTGGTTGAAATCCTAACCGCCAAAAAGTGATGATATTAGAGGTGGGGGCCTTTGGAAGATGATTAAGTCACAGGGATGGAGTTCTCGTGAACAGAATTAGTGCTCTTATCGAAGAGACCCCACCAGGCTGCTTCACCCCTTCCATCATCATGCGAGGATGCGATGAGGAATCTGCAGCCCACAAGAGGGCTCTTACATGACCATGCTGGCGCCCTGATCTTGGACTTTTACCCCCAGGAAATGTAAAAAAAACCAAATCTCTGTTGTTTATAACAGTTTATACCCAGTCTGTGGTATTGTGTTATAGCAGTTGGGACAGACTGAGACAGTGACCTTAATTGGAAATGGAGTCTTTTCAGAAGTAATTAATGATCCAATAACCACACTGGGTTAGTTTGGACCCTACATCCCGTGGCTGGTGTCATCATCAGAAGGCCATAAGAGACACAAGGGAAGCCCATGTGAAGATGGGGGCAGAAGTGGGATTGATGTGCCTCCACGCTAAGGAATGCCAAGAAATGCTAGCAACCGCCAAAAGGTAGGACAGAGGAAAGGAAGGAATCTTCTCTAGAAGCTTCAGAGGGAGTAGGGTCCAGCCCACACCTTGATTTCAGATTTCTGCCTCTGGCCCTGTGAGAGAATAGATTTCTATTGCTCTAAGTCCCCAGTTTGTGGTACTTTGTTACTCCAGCCCTCGAAAACTGATGCATGCATTTTTTTTTTACCCCTGATATTTTTAACCTCAGAAAGCAAGACATGTCTAGAAATAGGTAACATCTTTCGATGGCTGCCAGACAGCACAACCACAACCCCCCAAAGTGCCAGCGTTGAACCTGATAGAGTGGGGTGTCAGCAATTTTGATGAGTCATTCATCAGCCAGTTTTTTAAACTGTGGGAAAGAAAGTGTGGGGGGGAAAGTAGGAGTAAAGGCAAATACAAGTTCAGAACATCCACAAAACTGGAGTCAAAATTAGGCTTAGCTTTAAATGATCACCTGCCTCAGGTGCTGAGCACCAATGAAATTTAGTTCTCTTACGCATTCTTTTGTAAAATTTTTTTAATGTTTATTTATTTTTGACAGAGTGCGAGTGGGGGAGGGGGCGGGGGGGGGTGCTAAGAATCTGAAGCAGGCTCCAGGCTCTAAGCTGTCAGCACAGAGCCTGATGTAGGGCTCGAACTCACAAGCCAGGAGATCATGACCTGAGCCGAAGTCAGAAGCTTAACCAACCAAGCCACCCAGGTGCCCATCTTATGCATTCTTGAAACAGAAATGTTCTATTACAAATGCCCATGTTTGCACCAAGGACCGCCTTGTGTAGGAAAACACCAAGTCATGAGTTTTAGTCTCAAAGTGATTTCAGGAGGCATAACCTTAACATGGGGAAGGTTTAGGAAAAGTTGCAATAATTTATTTCAATTGAATGTTCATTTTAAATTTGCAAGGTTATACTGTATGATCAGAATCCATTTCTGAATAAGTCTGAAAAATTATCTCAATATATATGGAATAAACATTAAAAATTCTTTTAAACATTTATTTATTTTTGAGAGAGAGACAGAGCATGAACAGGGGAGGGGGAGAGAAAGAAGGAGATACAGAATCTGAGGCAGGCTCCAGGCTCTGAGCTGTTTGTTAGCACAGAGCATGACGCAGGGCCCGAACTCCTGAACTAAGAGACCATGACCTGAGCTGAAGTTGGACACTCAAATGAGTGAGCCACCCGGGTGCCCCATGGAACAAACATTTTAAGTGATGAGCATATTATGTCATAGCTTAATCAGCAGTGGTTTATTTATTTATTTTGGTAGCACATACCATGATTTAGCTTACGGCCGTTTATGTCTAAGATCCAATGCTATAGGGTTAGTTATTAGTACTCTATCTCAAACGATTCAGATATGTTTGTTTTTTTTTTCTAATTGGGCTAAAATACACATAACAAAATAAAGTGTACCATCTTAACCACTTAAATTTTTTTTTAACATCTATTCACTTTTGAGCATAGTCTCTGATTAAGTCTGAAAAAGTGACCTCAATACATATGGAATAAACATTTAAAAAATGTTTTTAACATTTATTTATTTTTGAGAGACAGAGAGAGAGACAGAGTGCAAGCAGGGGTGGGACAGAGAGAAAGGGAGAAGTAGAATCCGAAGCAGGCTCCAGACGTTGAGCTGTCAGCACAGAGCCTGACGTTGGGCTCGAACTCATGGACTGTGAGATCATGACCTGAGCCGGAGTCAGATGTTCGACCGACTGAGCCACCCAAGCACCCCATCTTAACCATTTTTAAGTGCACGATATTAAATGCTTTCATAAGGTTGTGCAACCATTACCACCATCCATCTTCAGCACTTTTTATCTTGTAAGATTGAAACTCTATACTCATTTGACAAGTAATCCCGATCCTACCCCTGCTCCCCAGCCCCTGGCGACCACAATTCTACATTCTGTCTTTCTGATTTTGACTATTCTAAGCACCTCATATAAGTGGATTCAAAGAGCATTTGTCTTTTGTGACTGGCTCAGTTTTCCTGTAAAGCTTCACTCTTACAGGTTGAATTTTTCAAAGCAACATTTTAAAAGTTCAAGAATCAAACCTCTTTCCATACTGTAGACTTGTGACAAGTTCCTTTAAAAAAGTGGTATTGGTTGAGCAATGGCTTCAAAGGCCCAGGTTAACCCTGATGCAACACAAGCCAGGAACGTCTTTTGGATAATTCTTCTTCAGCACTGTCATTTCAGAAAAGGAAGTGTGAGATTCTGAATAATATTGTCTGCATGCACCCAGTTAGGTTGTAATGCCTCTCGCTAGCAGAACTCAGCAGAGCCGTTTGTGAACTCATTGGCAGTATTTCCCTTATTGTATCTTTCCTTTTGTATATAAAGAGATGGTTATGAGGACGTTACTAGGAGGTGAGTAAAATAGAGATACACATATTAGCCTGCTTTATCACTTTAAAGAAAGCATAAAAGCTCAGAAAATCATTGTGTGCACATTTTCTGCATTTCAAACCCGTAAGTTCGTCTCGTAACATTGATGAGGTGATATAAATTGTTTATGACCTAGTAAATGAAAGATGGCGTATAGTTAAGAAAACACGTTTAATAATTTTTCAAACTTACCTCATTAAAGAGAACCTCTTTTCCTTCTCACATAGTGTAAACTTCCAGAATTTTAGAGCTAGAGGGAACTTTAGATTGTCAAGTTTGTAGTGTATTTTAGGGCCTAACCGAATAACTTGAATCTCAAACTGTTTATCTTTATTTCTGGCATTTTGTGAACTCTATAAAGAAACGTTACTCCCGTCTATGTTACTTATCCTTATTTTCCTAGCGCATGGTAGCCGATCAGTGATTTGTGAGTCCGCAATCCCAAGTCAAAAATCTACAGCAGCCAGGGAGCTGATATCGTGAATAAACTGGCCAGGTGATATAGAGGTATGCTGGAGAGTGCATGCTCTCCTTAAAGGGGGGAAGGTCAGATTTCAGCAGCAGGTGATGGGGGGGTCACTAAATCAGTCCCAATGTGACGACCTCTTTTTCAAGACGAGTCAGAGCACTGGGTGTTGTATGTAATCGATGAATCACAGGAATCTACCCCCAAAACCAAGAGCACACTGTATACACTGTATGTTAGCCAGCTTGAAAACAAATTATATTAAAAAAAAAAAAGGAATAAATGCTTCTCAAATGTAAAAAAAAAAGAAGAAAGGAAGAAAGAAAGAAATCTAGGTTTTTAATGTGAAGTCCCTCAACTGAAATGGACAATTAAAGAAACAATTTGCAAACTCCATGTGGGATGAGCAAAATGTATCTTTAGGCCACTTGTTTTCAACTTCTGCTCTTGGCATTTATCCCCTGTAATGTGCAGTCTCTCTTGAAATTGTGGTCAGGTCCCTGATTACAGACTGACGACAGGCAGATGGTTTGTACCGAGTAAATTGACTATGGTGAACTTTCTCATGATGCTCTGGAAACCCCAGAGCTGTGAATGGAAATGAAAACATGGCAGCTTATACCCACTAGCCTAACCAACAGGCATATGAAACGGTTTCCCTTGCTTTGCTGTTGGTGTACAGGTTATATTTTCCAGCCTATCCAGTTGTAGGGGCAAAATAATACTCATTTTTTGGTCGTTAATATGAAAATCTGCAATGTATTGAGTTACATAGTTTCATATACACATAGTTTTTCTATACCTGCTCTGGACAAGGTACCATAACTCTGGATTCTAGAGATAGGAGGAAGACAGGCTTCCTCTCTCAATCCGTTTAAAATCTTCTGCGTGGCAAACATATCCCCTCATGGATTCCTCTCTTGGACGTACTTCTTTCTTACTCTAATCACTTACTGTCTGGCGTTTACATCATCATAACAGCCACTTGCATTTTTTGAGTAGATGTCGCCTCGAGCACTGTGCATTACTATCTCAGACATTCTTCATGACAACTCTAAGAAGTAAGGTGCCGGGGCACCTGGGTGGCTCAGTCGGTTAAGCATCAGACTTCGGGTCAGGATCTCACAGTTCTTGAGTTCAAGCTCTGCATGGGACTGTCAGTGCAAAGCTTGCTTCGGATTCTCTCCCCAGACTTAAATAATACCTGCAATAATGTGGGCACTTTGCACTAAAACTAATGGAAAGGATCATGACCTAATTGTTCTCAAAGAGAGATTTTAAGTTCCTACAGTTAAAAGCTCTAGAAAAACTGCTTGCCTAGAACTTAAAAAAATTCGTTACCTTGTTGATAGCAAATGATCAGAGGTCTAAGAAAAGAGGCGTGTCATACAGAACTCCTTACTGTTGGAGAAGAATTAAAAAACGTAATTCATATAAATGAAAATTTGGAAAGTGCTGAATAACAGCTGCACGGGAATTCTACTTCACGTCGCTGCCACTCGCTCTGAGTTCACCAGAGTGAGGCCCTGATACTGATGGATTGACAAACCACCGGATCATTCTATTGGCATTTTTAAAACTATAATTTTGTTTGATGTTAAGGGTTTTCATTATGTACGTGGACAGGGGACCCAATATGCTCGTCCCTAGATCAATAAATGGCACCATTGTTCTCCAAGCCTACAAATCAGATACCTACTTATATTCTGAACGCCTTTCTCTCCTTAACCACTCCTTTGCAATTTATTGGCAAATGTGTCAATCTTATCTTCCAAAAAAACTATTGAAGCACCTCATTTCTCTCTCCTACTACAACATACGTGTTCAGTGGATGTTCGCTATAATTCATCATCATTGCTGTTGCTTTTTTTCAGTCACCACATCAATCTAACCATTGCAATGACTTCCTCAACTTTTCTCGTACGAACTCATATCCCACCACTCAAATTATATTTTGCCTTATAACTGGATGCCCTTCTTAAAATGCACATCTGATGATGTTGTCTTCCTCTTTAAAACGCTCACATGATATCGGTGCCACACCATCTTTAATCTCACGCCACACTCTCTGCACCCAAGATGCACTGACTTACCTTTGGTTTTATTAATGAGCCCTCCTTCTTTACCACAGGGCTCTTGTACATGCCGATCTCTCGGACTGGAATGCTTAGCCCTTGTCTCTATTCCCCTTATTTACTCCTATGGATCCATTTTACATCACTTCCCTTGGAAACCTTGCTGAGAGATCCTGCACCAAACGCATTCCTCCCTACTATACTCTCTTAGTACCATTTAGTCTCCTGTTGAAATACTGATCGTTACTGTGATATCACGTGTATTTATGTGAGTCTTTGATTAATGTTTCCTTCTTTCTAAATTATAAGGTCCTTGAGGAGGGGGACTATTTACATTCAATATATATCCATTGCATCAATGAATAATGCTGCTTGAAAATATCAGATTTCATAACTAATAGAAAAACATTAGAGGGCAATATAATCATAGAAATGACTCAAAAGAGCACATTCTCTTCAATCCGAAGGCTTATGCTTATCAGACTCTATACCTTGCAAGTGCCGCTCTAATGTGTGTATTTTAGATAATGTTTGCATATTTAGGGCGTCCAGGAGAAATGGGGCATAACTGTGAAATATCCATAGGCAGAATTAACAATGTCTGTAGTGTCTGCTACTTAATTCTTCTTAATCCTGGGGAGAAAGTAGACTAACATTGTCCATTAAAAAAAAAAAAAGGTGAATTTGACTTATGTATCGCTAGGCAAATGGATGCATTATTCATATGTCCACAAGTTCATGTAAAGCGAAGAAAGCCTAATGAAGATTTATATCAGGATCTACTTCCTGACTTTAAAATTTATTATACCTTGGACTTATCATGCAAGGGGAGCGGTGGAAATCCCATCCTCTCAATTATTATGACTCCATGAACAACCGATTAGAAAGCCCTCTCGGGACCCATCTCTCATGGATCAGGTGGGGTGGCGGTCATGGATTTGATGACACAGTTGGTCATCTATCTTTCCAATTTTTGCAAAAGGGCATTCGAAGCAAACGTGGCCAATGGAAAAGCTTTAATCATCGCTGCGTGTTCTTGTTAAGTGAATACAGTAAGATACGGAAGGGGATTAGCATCCTATGTTAACCCTAGGCTGGATGAATACATGAATGGATGATGCAACTTAGTTTCATTCCTGGGAGTTATAATGACTACCAACTTCCAGAAAATAATTCCAAATTTTGATACTAGAGTAAATTCTTCTCACTTTCTCGTTGCACCTTTTTCTTTCTGACCCTGATTTCCTGTTGTATCTGCTTCTCTTTCTCTTTCATGCTCTCTCTCTCTCTCTCTCTCTCTCTCTCACAAAGTTTTCCATCCTGCTGAATCAAAGGTGAATATCAGTGGACTTTATGACATCAAAACTTTATTCTGACCGACGAAATCCATCTGGCTTTCTGTATTCTACTTCTAAAAACCTTTGACATAAGTTGTATTACTAAGAATTGCCACGTATGTTTTCCAATTTGGAAATCGGTGGAAAGGAGATAACTTTTAATTATCTTTGAACGGGGCAGCTTAACAGTTAAACCTGGTACTCAGAGGCTGTAATGCAGAAAATCCATTTTGGGTTTGTTTTTGAAAAGCCAGCCATCCATTCTCTGAGCCAGTATAAAACCTCTTTTATCTGAAAGTTTCTTTTCAACTTTAGTAATGTATGAAGACTGGGCTCTTCAGAGATAGACCACAAATGGAGTTTTAAAGGATCTAAGACATTTGTGTGAATATTTGTGATAATATTGTGCAACAGTTACCTGTAACAGCAATATAATTTGTCCTTTCTGAACATGGCAATCAGGATGCTTTCAGTTTCCTGTAAAATGATTGTTTTCAAGATTATTTTCTTAATTTGACACATAAAGCATATTTCAAATATGTCTCCTCACTAATAAATAATATAGTTAATACTTAAAATGTTTACATTTAAGATACATCATTTAATAATAAACATGAGCCTAATTTAAAGTCATAGATTTACCTAAAGTCACATGTTGAATAGTAAAACATCAGGTCTTTCCAATCTTAGAGATTGTCTTTCATGCCAAAGCCTCTTCTTAACCAGTTTAAAGAGGATGTTGCAATTTGACATTTAAGTTTGGAAAAATTATTTTTATTACCAGATTGTGGATAGCGTGGTTGAGACACTTTAGCGACTTTAAAATGATTTTATGAGGGGCGCCTGGGTGGCTCAGTCAAGCATCCGACTCTTGATTTCAGCTCGGGTCATGATCTCAAGGTTCGTGAGATCAAGCCCCGCATGGGGCTCTGCACCGACAGTGCTTGGGATTCTCTCTCTCCTTCTCTCCCTTGCTCTCTCAAAAGAAATAAATGTTTAAAACATTAAAAATAAAATAATTTATGAGCAGTTTAAGTGATGCCTAATTCTCTGAGTTTTGAACCTTCCTTCATATCCATTTGTTTTTATAAGAATTTCCTAAGAATGCTTGTCTGGGAGAGACCTCTAGCTTTGCTGTGAGAGAAGCCCAGTAGGACAGACTGCCGTGTCCACCACTAATGAGCCCTGAGAACTCACTGCTGGGATGTAGACCCCACTGAGTGACAAAAGTGAATGCTTCCCTTAAATATTCACTCGGGGCATAACCCACAGGAAGGACATCTCTAAGAGGAAGCCGTACTGATTTCTTTCTTTGGAAACATACTGTTTGGGGTTTTGTTTTCCTGAAGGTCCGTCAAGAGATGAAAAATCTATTGCCATAATTTCTTCTCAGATATACAGTCAGGTTTTTTTGTTTTTGGTTTTGTTTATATTGGCTAGGTCTTTGGGTGTGAAGCTTTCCCCTTTCATCCCTTGGTGTGACTGAATTAGAAACAAATGGGGCAGACACACCTACCTACAAGATCTAATTTTGTGATTTCAGATATCCTCAGAAGAAATGGCTTCTGCCTGGAACCTGTCTACAGTGTCATCTGCTTGTAATAGCCAAAGGTCTTTAACGGGTAATGAAGCCTTGCTCTCCACAGTTGGTAATAAAACAAAAATATCCAGTGAGAGAGGGCAGATACTGACTTGTATGCTCGTAAGAAGTACAGGGCTCGCATCAGATCCCTGGAACAAGTTCTGACTGGGCTTCAGGAAGGAGATGTCTCTTTTGGTGCTTTAGAGCACCATGGAATGAAACTTGATGTGATCGCATCGTCCCCAGGGAGAGGCCTCATGGGAAGGGCAAGGCACAGCCACCCCACTGCACAGCACACACTCGGCCAAATGAAACAGTACCTTCCTCCTCCAGCGTGGTTTGCTCTCCCTGACTCCTGCCTTTGCTTATGCCTTCCACTCAGGACCAGTTAAACGTTTACTCATCTTTCAAATTCCCCTCCTTCCTCAAAAGCTTTCCTCCCAGCTCTCCTTGAAAACGGACTTACTTTGTGGTTACATTTCTTAGGACACTTCAAATTTAAGATGTTTTACCATAGTTATTTCTTACTGTGATTGTTTTATTTTCCCTTGTTAGATTGTCATACCCTTGGGAAAAATATTGCGCCTCATTTGTTCATTTATTGTTCTAATCTGGTAGTTTGGCATACTGCACTCGACGTGTTCTCAAATTTTATTGAATTACATTGGATCTTCCTATGAAAGCAAACATATTAACTTTCCTGGATGCATTAAGGAATTTTAAGAAGTCTTTGATCATTATTAAGGTTCAATTGTACGTTGAAAGGAGGTGGTTTTGAATCCTGGTTTGATGATATATCAAAGCATGATACCTGAACAATCTGAGCAGACTTAACTAAAGATACATTGCAAATGTAGACGTCTTCCTAGATCCAATATATAATGTTTCCTTTTCAATTTTGAGGGAAATATTGGCAAAAGAAAGCCTGATTTATGCTTTATGATAGCTTCAAATATGTACCTAAAATTTCACTTGGAATCAGTTGAGATTTTGAATACTATATTTCTAATCCACAAATTAAATGCCTAATCAGTTCAACACTTAAGTGTCTTTGCAGAGGGCTCTGGACTTTTGCAGACGGTGCATTCTGGGGACCATGAATAATTTGCCAATTTTTATAATTTCCTATAAACTGCATGGTAATAAATCTAAATGCTATCAGCTAGTTTATTATTGAGAATGGATGTAACACAATGATATTGAACATGGCCACCGTTTACTTGTCTGGAATTATTCATTCATGGGCTAAGTGAACCACTCACACATCAACTTCGGACCCCATCAAAAATAGCACAGTATTATGGGCCATAGTCTTTTAGGATGATTAATTCGCAAATAAATGAAACAACAAATTTTAAATTCATGGATGCCAAAGGTTTACCATTTTAGCCTATACCGTGCACAGGGTATTGTGAAATGGGACCGCAGGTCATAGAAAGATGAGTAAAAAACAAACTTTCTCCTGAACACAAAGAGTGCAGGTTAAAACACAAAATGAGTAAGGTGCTCTGAGGAAAAATAGTTGCCTTTATCTGCACATACAGTGGAAGGCTTTATGGAAAAGAAAAAAATTTGTGTGGGTCATCTAGGATGAGCAGAGAATTAAAGTGTGTGTCAGTTTTCTAAGATGGAGGGAACAGCTGAGAATGAAAATCAGGTTTGGGAGCTTTTCTGACTCCTGTGGGAAGTTCTGATTGGAGCCCTGTCATTTGAAGTCAACCTACTTTGCTTTTTGCTTTTTTTTGTTTTGTTTTGTTTTGTTTTGTTTTGTTTTGTTTTGTTCTTTGTTTTGAGAGAGAATGAGCCAGGGGAGAGGGACGAAAAGAGAGAGGGAGAGAAAGAGAGAGAGCGAGCGAGCGAGCGAGCGAGAGAATCTTTCAGCACAGAGCCTGATTCGGGGCTCGATCTCACGACCCTGGGATCATGACCTGAGCAGAAATCAATAGGCAGATGCTCAACGGAGGGAAGCACTCAGCCACCCCTCAGTCACCCTACTTTGTAAGTCTCTCATCTTTTTTGAGCCCCGTGTTTCCAGAAGCCCTCTCAGAATTTGTTTAAACTCCCTGCTTAATCAGCGTAGTCATGAGGCAATGTCTTCTCAAGGCATTTCACTCCCAAATGCATATTTGCCGTTGCAAGATTGATGCCATTTTACTCTGAGACTCCCCTCGTCTTTCCTGACTGTCTTTAGAATTACTTAGCACTCCTTTTCATTGTGTAATACATTCCACTTCTTTATCAGTGGTTAACCTCAAGTTATTTATTTTGCAAGGGGGTTTTTAGCAAGTAATACCAATAAGAAAATAATAATACAAGTTTAAATAATAATTAACTTAAAAAAAAAAAAACAACACTTTTTTGAGCTCCAGGACCAGGAGAACTGTAAGGTGAACCCTGAGGCCAGGGTTGGGGGTAGGGGTTTGGGAGGTGAGAAACATATTGCGTCCAGGCTCTGGTCTTTCGAAAACAAAATAAAACAAAACAAAACCCACTTTATTGAGGTATGATTGACACATAGAAAGCTATATGTATTTAATGCATAACACTGGAAGAGTTTGGGGATGAGTATACATTGGTGAACCATTGTCACCATCAAGGCCATAAATATTTTCATCACCTCCCCAAGTTTTCTCCCATATCTATTTTTACTATATTGATTATTATTATTTTGTGATTAGAACACTTAACATAAGATCTACCCTCTTAGTCAATTTTAAGTATATAATACAGTATTGTATTTGTATAATGTAGAATTATATTTTTACATTATATTTTCATAAATATATATTTAGAATATATTAATTACATAAAATATGTATATAATTATATATAATGCATATTATATAATAATATTGTACATGTTTATATTGAATTGTTTTTTTTAATTTTTTTAATGTTTATTTATTTTTGACAGAGAGAGAGAGAGACAGAGCATGAGCTGGGGGAGGGGCAGAGAGAGAGGGAGACACAGAATCCGAAGTAGGCTCCAGGCTCTGAGCTGTCAGCACAGAGCCCGATGTGGGGCTCGAACTCACAGACCACGACATCATGACCTGATCTTAAGTCGGACTGAGCCACCCAGGCGCCCCTCTATTGAATTGTTTTGATCTTTTTCTTTTCAGTTTTAAGAGGGCTACATTTCACAAGGCCTTGAGTTATATATATATATATATATATATATATATATATACACACACACACATATATATGCATATATATGTATATATATATACACGTATGTATATATATGTGTGTGTGTGTGTGTATATATATATATATACTTTTTAAAAATGTTTATTTATTGTTGAGAGAGACAGAGTGCGAGTGGGGGAGGGGCAGAGAGACAGAGGGAGACACAGAATCCAAAGCAGGCTCCAGGCTCTGAGCTGCCAGCGCAGAGCCTGATGCGGGGCTCGAACTCACAAACTGTGACATCACGACCTGAGCCAAAGTCCGATGCTTAACCGACTGAGCCACCCAGGCACTCCAAAGTTATGTATATTTTAATTAGGAATAAAAGTTTAAGCCGAACCCCAAATGATTCTATTTTTGTCATTCATTTCTATAGAATCTACAAGAAGATAAATAAAGCAACAAGGAAAAACTTTTTAAAAACTTGTCAATACAATTTTGTTTAAAAAGGAAAAGTATATCAACCTCTGGTAAACCACTGTATAGCTTTGGAAAATCAAAAAATATAATTCCAATACGATGTCGTAACACCACACTCATTGAAAAATCGGATAAATTCAATTTTAACACTGATTCCAGTGACTCAAGTGTTTTCTCAGCTTTCTTGCCATCTTGATTTTGGATAATACAGAGGGTTTATTGAAAGGAACAGGGGGAGAGACATTAAAGGAGTAAGACCATTTTGAACATACGGATATGTCCCCGCCTCAACCACCCACCAGCAGACCTATATCCTTTCCTCCTCTGAAGGTTCCACTCAACATACTTTCTTTCTCAAGTCGGTTTGGACTTTGTGCACTGCCATGTTGCAGGAGCTGTGGCAACAAGACAAGGCTACAGGCTCTGGGGTGACGATTTCCTCCACAGAACAACCAAGAGACAAAGCGATAAATTCAGGTTGTAGTAGGAAGGAGTGCCTTCCTTACACCTGTGTTTATTTTCCGTTGATGGCTTACGGTTAAGGGCATGGGGGGCTCTTCACTGTAATTCCTACTCTGCCTGGCTCCAAATGGTCCCTGGCCCCAGCTGTAGGCGTGTGTATTGTGTCAGTAAGAATCCAGAAGGTTCTGAAGTGTGACCTGCCACTGAGTAAATGTAGCTTAGCTCGCTCTCGTGGAGCTGGGATCAGCATGGCATAAAGCTGTACTCAGCACGTTAGTCCGTTTATAGAGAATTAGGGTTATTTGTTATTTGTGGTTAGTCTACTTACGTCCAAACTCAAAACATTTTCTCTTTAAATTCTGGGTCTGTAATTACAAAGCAAACTTCAGCTAGATTTTTCTTCTAACAGTTTTTCTTCTTCTACTGGTTGTGAAAAATATTCAAATTCACTTTCTATTTTTCGTTTAGTTAATATGGGGGAAATACGTAACATTACATATTTGAGATATTTTACTTTTAAATAAAGAAAATCACTGAAGAACGTACAAAATTAGGGAACATCAGCAGGTCCTATTTTTTTAAACCATTTTATATAATATATGCCACCATTTAAAACTAAGAGAAAATTTCAGTGAATGCTAATAAAAATCGCTTGTACCTAAATTCTTTTTCTGGTTTACTTACAACAGAAGTAAAATCTCATATAGAAACCATATTGACATTTCAAAGCTTCCTCATCTGTGTTATTTACACTTTTTGGTTTATTGAGTTTTATTAAAACTAATCTTTTGATCTTTTGTTTAGCATCTTACAGTTATTGGGCTGAAAAATATGTAACCTTCACATTCCATAATTAGCTGTTACAAGATTTCGATACCCACTGGAGCAGAGTGTACTTCTGGAAAAGAGCTTTATTAAAATTTAATGAATGTTTTATAACTGCATTTCCAATTGGAAAAAGAAAGTTTTGCAGCCCCCAAACTTGGGAACATGTAAGCTAAGGTGTGATGATATTTATAAGGAAATAGAAGAATTACAATGAAAATACTGGAGGTTTTTGGAATATTTTCCATGTATGCATCTTGAAGCCATTACAAATATCAATTATAATTTCAATGAATCCTTGCCAGTGTTGTTGTTTTTTTTTTCCCAATCATGCCAAGTTGTGTCATTTAAAGAAGTCAGATAGAATCAAACTGCTTGTTTGTTGAATTAATAGAGGTAAAATTATAGGAATAATATGAAAAATGAACAATAATTTAAAATTATAATTTGTTTTTGAACTCACTTTGTTTTATAGGGAAAGAAAACATTTCTTTTAGAAATGCAATCAGAGAGCTGTGAGTGAACGTTAGAGACCGTTATGTCACCAAATGCATGAACATACTTGATCGTCTATGTGGTTAGTGGAGTTTCCAGATTTAGAAACAAACAAACAAACAAGATATACACATTTAAGTTTTAGAACAGTAACAGACTTTTTGTATTGTATGGTAGTTAATTTTATGTGTCAATGTGACCCGCTCCTGGAATGATCAGCTATCTGGTTAAACAGAATTTCTGGGTGTGTCTGTAAGGGTATTTCTGGGAGACACTGTAGGCATTTGAATTGACAGATTGAGTAAATGGATTGACCTCCCTAGGGTGGCAGAGCATCACCCAGTCTGCTGAGGGCCTGAACAGACTAAGAAGGTGGAGGAAGGGAGGAGTCCCACCCTCTGCTGGGTCCTGTGAGCTGGGACAGGGATCTTGCCTTTGGTGCTCTTGGTTCTTGGGCTGTCAGATCTAGACTGGGGTCTAGACCATCAGCTTTCTGGTTCTTGGGCTTTTGAACTATACCACCTGCTTTCCTGGTTTTCCAGTTTGCAGACAGCAGATGGTGGGATAGCTCAGCCTCCATAATTGTATGAGCCAGTTCTCAATAATAAATCTCCTTATATATCTATTATGTACCTAATAATAAATCTCTCTCTCTATCCTCCTGGTTCTGTTTCTTTGGAGACCCCCAACTAATACATATCGATCTTATGTCTCTAATTTTGCAGGTGATGTGCTAAAATTATTCCTTGTTTAGATGAAATTCATTTTTAACTCTGTATCTTGTAATTAATTTCACAACCTTAGGAAGAAATTTTAACATGCCTCCATCTAATTGACCCCCACCTGTCTTCCAGATTTTCGGGAGATGCACGATGAGGAAAGAAAGGTGAAAAGATAAACATTCGAGAATGGTCAATATCTATGACAGCACCCACTGAGTCTTAAGGAACCCATTCCCTACTCTCCATCTTCATCATTCCAAGCAGAAGCCAGAAATACTTCTCCCTCTTAGTGAGCTCATTAGAGATGATAGCAAGTAGCATAAAACAAAACAAACGAAACAAAAAAATCTTGCTTTTCAGGTGTCTCCTCTCTCCCTGTGCAGTGTAATCTTCAGAGAATTAACTGAAATTCTACCCTAAAATCACCATAAAATTCACTTTAACAGTGACATTGACTGAGTTAACCAGGAAAATTCTGTTCGTGTGGCAATACCCATTTCCAATCATAAGATTAAAAGCCAAGTCTTTGACAGATGTTAGGGAAGTTACATTATTTGGACTTAAATGATTTCATCCTAATTTCAGTTTCCAGCTGCTGGTTATAGAATCTTTACAAGATTTAGGCACCTCAGCTCATTATATCTCTGTACACCCACGATTTCTCCATGTATTATAAATGTTGCATTAATCAGAGGCACAAAGGAGAAAAAGTGGATGTCAATTCTGGGAAGGAGCGAGGTACTATGGGTCACTGTTAAATTTAACAACTCAATTTATTGGCAACTATTTTTAAAGCACTTTCTTAACTCCCTCCATTCTTTAAATTAATTTTTAACAGGCAGGCATGTTCTAACTCTCATACCTTTTTTTCCCCTCTGTAAAAGTAGTGTGTTTTTAAATTTTTTGTCACCCTTATCTCTTTGATGTTTATATTTAGCTGGTTGTATTAATGGATCAGGGCTCTGAAGATAACAGTTGTCAATCTTTCTTTCTTTTTTTTTTTTTTTTTTTAGATTATAAAAACTGTGAAAGAAAAAAATACTCCCACGTTGTTTAGTTTTTCCTATGTCTATGAAATATATTTTATCTTCTGCTATTAATCCAATTTGTTTTCTAGCCTTATGGGACCTGTCCATATGAATAATTTTGGTCATAGAAATCCCTTGGGCTTTTAGGAATCACATAGTTTTTGAATATGTGTTGGGCAATCAACTGAAAGCAAATCTGAACCCAGTGATATTTGTCATTGTTATTTCCTATATTAAAAGCATAACTCTTTATTATTAATAAGAATCTCCATGTATCATTTATATTGTCACAAGTTTTATTACTAGGGGTGCTTGGATGGCTCATTTGGTTAAGCGTCCAACTCTGGATTTTGACTTGGGTCATGATCTCATGGTTTGTGAGTTCAAGCCCCACGTCTGGCTCTGCACCAAAATAAATAAAATAAGCTAATAAGCTTTCTCTCTCAAAATAAATAAATAAACTTAAAATTATTCCTATATTTTTGATCATGGATCTATTTGGTCAAATGAAATGTTACAATGGAACCTAGACAAAGAATACCAATAAAAGTGGATCTCCTCTGAAGGAAGTGCCCTCACTTCTATAGTCCCTCTATGGGATTTGCTGGGAAGGCTTCAGGAACCCTCTGGAATTCCCCAAACCACACTCTGAAGCACAGTGCCCTCTACAAATATTATAGGAAACAAGAACATTTATGAAGCCACAATTACAGAAGGAAACAGAAGAAATGGGAGTTCGTTGGTTCACTTGGTCTATTTTCTAAATAATCTCTCCTGCATAACATCAAATTGACATTAGATATCTACAGACCAGGTAAAATGTTCCAAAGGTCCCCCACCTCACTCCAGACACACCTCTCTTCAGGTCATTACGTGATGTTATTACAACAGTTTCCATATCTGTCAATCACAGATTGTACACCAGGGATGTGTGTTCTGAAGCACCATATCTGGTCCCAAATGCCGTAGCATTTCTTCAGGTACTGGCTGGCATCGACCATCCTAAAACTGTTGAGGGAGACACCGAACATTTCAAGTGGCTAGGGTTCTACCTTCTCTAGAGATGAGGAGTACCACTGCCATACAAGTTCTGCACCAGGCTTCTTTGGTATCTTTCACTCCAACCTGAACTATACATTGAGAGTCAGAGGCAAGAACCTGATGGCCATTCAGTCTTTAGCTCTAATTCATGTTTTAGCCAAGTAGAAAGTTAAAGCATTTTCTTATGAAGTTATGAATTGCTCCCTACACTTGGTGTAGAGAACTTGGCGTTCTCTTCTGACCCAAGTTTCTCAAGGTCCTTCAGTAGTGTCTTCCCCACTCCTCCAAACCCAACAAACAACACAAAGTAACTCTGCTTCTTTTCTATCATGAAAAAAGTTAATTACCTCCATGAGTAATTTAATATGAAGCCCAGGCATCATTCTCTACAACTTTTCCCTTAACAAGATGTGCATTCTTTTTTCAATTATATTTCTAATGATATAGACTTCAAATTTGATTAAATCTCACATTTGTTCATGAATTTAGAACTATAAGCCTCTTTTACTTAAAACTATCTGATTGGGGTACCTAGGTGGCTCAGTTGGTTAAGTGGCTAACTCTTGATTTCGGCTCAGGTCATGGTCTCATGGTTTGTGGGTCCAAGCCCCACTTTGGGCTCTGTGTTGACAGTGTGGAGCTTCTTGGGATTCTCTCTCTTTCTATCTGCCCCTCTCCTGCTTGCGCACTCTCTCTCTCTTTCTCTCTCTCTCAAAATAAATAAATAAAAAAACAACTTAAAAAAACCTGTCTGATTGATTTTTGACAGCTCATGAGAAT